ATCGAGGATGGACAAGAGGGAACAAGATGACGCAGAAATGCCGTGGGCCGATTACTCGGGCCACCCGAGTACAAACAGCAGATCGCTTCGTAAATGCATGAAACACGATATGAAATGCACGAGTTCGGACGTTTTGGCATCCGGACAAGCAGACAATCAACTCATCGAGGCGTGTGGATGCATTTTTATTATATATTATAGACTGCCCAATGCTTTCCTCCATATCATACGTCACTCACGATGTCAGTCGCTAACGTACCGTCTCGAACGTATTTCATGTAACGGGTGTTCCGCAGAACCGAAATTAAAAACGTTTACGTATGTACACCTATCAATTCTACAGATACAGCTATCGATTTCATGTACGTCGAATAACTGCTCTTTGTCAGTTTTCATTTTTCTTATTGGTATCTTCATTTTTTACATATTGTTATTGGTGTTGTTGATCCAGCTGCTTGTGTTTATGTTCTGCGTATTGTGGAAGTGTTTTCATTTATTTTTAGGCATTTTCAGTGGAAGTTGATTCTTACTTTATTTATTATCATGAACTTTCTATCATTTTTTATATTTTTATTCTATATGTTGTTAGTCGATTTTTGTTCTGGATGTTGTGGAATATTTTTCCTTTTTTTTTTCTAAGTTATTTTAGTGGAAGTTCATTCTTACTTTATTTATTATCATTTTTTTATATTTTTGTTTTATATGTTAGTTGATTTTAATTCTGAATATTGTGAAATATTTATCTTTTTTTTTAAGTAATTTCAGTGGAAATGCTCATTCTTATTTATTATCATGAATTTTGAATCATTTTTTATGTTTTTACTTTAAATGTTATTAGTCAAAGTGTTTGTATCTTCGTTTTAGGTATTGTGGAATATTTTTCATTTTTTTCTTTTTCAAGTAGTTTCAGTAGAAGTGTTCATTTTTATTCATTATTATGAACTCTGTTTTTATTTTGGGAATGGTGTAAATGTCCATTTTTATTTGTTATCAATGGAAGTGTTTTTATTTTGTTCTTATTTTATTTTGAAAATTTGTAAGTTTACAGAAATATAAGTTTGTGAACTTGTGAATTTGTTAAATTATCAATTTGTAAATTTGGGACTTGAGAATTTGGGAATTTATAAATTTCAGGATTTAGGTATTTGTAATTAGGTATTTGGATTTAGGTATATTTAATCCTGATTAAATATCAGGATTCAGAATTTGAGAATTTGAAGGTTGATGGATTTAGACATGGAAATTTCAGAATTTAGAGACTTATGGATTTAGAAATATGGAAATTTGGGAACTTGGGAATTTGAGAATTTGAGAATTTGAGAATTTGAGAATTTGAGAAATTTGAGTATTTGGAAAATTAAAAATTTGAAACTTAGCTATACAAAAAATTACCTAAATTACCAAATTAGCGTCGAAAGAAGTTATATCGAAAGTAAGGTTACGTCCGAGCGTACCAAGAGCATAATACACGCGTGTCAAGTCACGCCACACCGACGGACCACACAGCCGACACCGAGACGTTGCTTTCTCAGAGTAGTCATGGTAAAGTCGTGGGTAATCGTGGCCGAACGATCTGTCCAGTCAGATAGATCAAGCGTGGCGGCGAGTTGGCATCTTCAGGGAACATCGTGGTAGATTGCACGACACACGTTCCACGCGTGTACAATTCTTTTCCGCGGGAGTCTCAATACTGCGATGAGGATTTTGCGAAGGATGAGAGGAGGAACGAGATAGAGGAGAAAATTGAAAAGGGAACGGGATTACGTGTGGGTGGTTGATGAGAAGCTGGAGGAATATACCAGGTGTACATATAAACAGATTTTATTTCTAACGTAATCTTACTCTTCGTGTTTTATTGTGTAATTGAAAATGGTGGAGGATGAATACTGGAACTTATACGACATAGATTAGATTAGGTTAGGTTAGGTTACTTTAGGTTAGTTTAACTTGACTGAACTCATAGTTCTTTATATTATAATTGAGAATTAATTTCAAAGGATGAATACTATTAATTATAAAACATTTTAGGTTAGGTTAAGTTTGTTTAGGTTAGTTTGACTTAACCAAACTCAATGGATTTTGATAATATAATTAAAAATTAATGTCAGAAGATGGCCAACACGAGTTATACAAATTTCTAGATTAGGTTAGTTTAACCTAACCTAAACATGTTTTGTATTATAATTGAAAATGAATGTTGCGGGATGAATACCAGGACTTACAAAACACACTCAGTTGGGTTAGCTTAGTTTGAATTAGTTTAACCTAACCAAAGTCAGCATGTTTTATGATATAATTAAAAACGAAACATGTTAGGTTAGGTTAAGTTTGTTTAGGTTAGTTTGACTTAACCAAACTCAATGGATTTTGATAATATAATTAAAAATTAATGTCAGAAGATGGCCAGAAATTTGCAAATTTCTCAATTTGCGAATTTTTAAACTTGCAAACTTGTACATTTTAAATTGCAAAATGGACTTATACATTTGTGTATGTATAAAGTAAACTTCTAAACTCGTTATTGTGCAAAGTAAACTTACAATACTATTATTGTTAGATTTAGTAATGCGAATCATTTTACACATTATTATTAAAGAATATAAATAGGAAGTTGATTTTGTATGACCCACCTTGTATATGTCCAGCATTTAACCATTTTCAGTGCTCAATGTTATAATATGAACACGTATTAACGTCCAGTAAATTGATAATAAATGTGATCGATAAGTAAAGAACGATATTTGAGAATATATGATACTTCGAAAATTTTGCAATTCATAGAACTTTTAAGATTTAAAGATTTGAGAGTATGGAAACTTAAATCTATAGTTATTTAAAAATTTGGAAATTTGAAAATTTCTCAAATTGAGAATTACGTCACTCCACTACTTTGACATGTGTGAATTTTTCAATTTTAGAATTTTTATATTTACGAATTTCGCAACATTGCGATTTTTAAATTTGTGCGTTTGAGAATTTAACAATTATAGGACGAGTTAGAACTTTTGAAATTTGTGAGTTTAAAAATTTCACTTGAGGAATAAAAAATTTGTTAATTTGTGAATTTGGTGATTTGTCAGTTCCAAAAATATAAATTTGCATACTTCATAATCCAAAAATATTGTAGTTTGGAACGGTGAAAGTTTAGAAAATCCATAGATACTTAAAAATTTGAAAATTTGTCTATTGCAGAAAATGTATCTATTTACCTATTGCAATTTCAAAATTTAGAAGTTTCTAATTTTTATTCCTTAAAATTTTGGCATAAAATTTTTAAATTTGAAAAGTTTGAAATTTAGGTTCTTGAATATCTCAAAATTTCTAAACCTGTAAACTCCTAATCAATTTTTATTAATACTGAACTTGATATCGTATCAATACAAGATATTGGAAACAAAAATAAACTTCTTAGCATAGAAATAATTTTCTTAGCATAGAAAATGACTAAATTACCGATATACATAGAAACACCCTGTATAGATTTTGGATGTAGGTATATTGAGCGTGTATCAGCCATACACATAATTACTATCTGATAGAGTTCGTTGTCTGTCGGGAAGGTTGATTTCATACTTGTTCTTATTTCCGACCCGTCAAAGGTATCCCCATGGCGGTAGGACGGTCAATCTCGGATGGGGACCCAAGGCCCATATGGGCTCCTTCCCTCGTCTCGACCAATCACCGACCTTCAAACTCTGCCTTACCGCGGTACAATCACAAAAGAAAGAAAAAACTTTCGATTAGGCTTGCTTCGAGACGATACTTCGACCAGTTCGAGAACCTCGGCCGCATCGATGGCCGATCAACGTTCATTTTCTTCATCGATTCGTTGAGGGACGACAAACAATTTCATGACTAATATATAAAATTTGAGATAGATAGATATTTTGTTAGCGATGTTTTTTGTTGTTCTTTAATTAATTACTCATTTTTAGAAATTAATTATTTTTTTGTCGAAGTTGAATGCTTTTATTATTTTTAGGAAGGAGGTTTAGCGAAAGAGAGTTTTGCATTATTTTTAATATTTGTTGATTGTAATTGTATATGTTAGTTACATGTTATAGATCGATTATGTATTTTAGGTTAATTGTTTATAATGCACATTAGTTACTTGTTTTACACACTAATTACATTCTATGTATTAATGACATGTTATATATATTATACATTAATTGCTAAAATACGCATTAGTTACATTACATTCACATTACACATGTTATACATTAGTTACACATGTTAATGTAACACAATATTACACATGTTACGCTGGTTACATATTACACATTAATCACGTACTACACATATTATACACTAGTTACACATTACACATTAATCACATATTACACATGTCATACACTAATTACATAATTAGTTATATTACACATATGAACAATTACTTGCTGTAATAAACAATAATTATACGTTATACATCAATTGTAATAATACACATTAATTACATATTACACATATCACACATGAGTTATATGTACATATATTACACATATCACACATGAGTTACATATTACACATATCACACATGAGTTACATATTACACATATCACACATGAGTCACATATTACACATGAACCAACAAATTATATTATCCGACTCACGTTAATTATAAGGGTTGTAAAAATGATTTCACAAAATTATTTTTTAAAACACAAAAGTTCCTTGCTAAATATATTTTTATTGTATACTGTTGCAAATATGAAACATAAAACAACATTTTTTATATTTTGTCAAACAGAAATGAATATCAGTTTTCTTAATTAAATTACTGAAAATATTTCTTGTGTTCCCTAATCACAATTGCTTATTTCGCCATTTTGAAAATATTTCAACTTCATATTATATAAATTTTATTAATAGAACATTTGTTCGTCTCTTATTTCGTAGCGATTCAAAGATACATTTAAAAAAAAATTTTCTCTTAAATAAAAATTTGAATGATTTTAGCAACTAATTTTATCTATAAAACTGTAAAAAGTCTCGGCAATTTATAAAATATCAGAAAAGTATAAGAGTTGGTTTTTAAAAAGTGTGAAAGACTATATTCGAAACGAGTGCCTGAGGTAGTACAATTTTTCGACAATCAAAAAGCCTATCATTACTACGTCAACGGTCAACATTTTAAAAGATGTACCTTCAATGAAATCTTCGATGTAACGTAATCAACGCAACACCTGTCGAAAATGCAGATTTAGGATGCAGCTGCTTCCGCCGGTGCAGACAAGCAATAATTCTTGGGGATGCGAAGAACTTGTCCATAATTTCGTCGTTTCTATTTCTTTCTTCGTTCTTTTTATCCTGCAAAAGGGAAACAAGTTATGTAGCTTTGTTTCCTTGTATTATAACGAAAAGTGTTCTTTCTTTGGTTTATGGTAACTTCCACTATGAAAGAATTCAATTCTACAGCTGTTGTGAATAAAATTGTTATGGAGTATCTGGGTGTTAAATTTGAAAAATGAAAATAGAACTCTAAATGAGAAGTAGATAAAATTAAATAACTTTAGAAAAAATGAAAGAAGAGTTAGAAAAAATGAGATAAAATTAGATGAAATTAGATAAAATCAGATGGAGTTAGATAAAATTAGATAAAATTAGATAACATTAGATAAAATTAAATAAAATCAAATAAAATGAGATAAAATTAGATAAAAAACAGATAAAAATGAGATAAATTAGATAAAATTAGATAAAATTAGACAAAGTGAGACAAAATGAGACAAAATGAGATAAAATTAGATGAAATCAGATAAAATTAAATAAAACTAGTTAATTTAGATGAAATTAGATAAAACTAAATGCAACTAAATGAAACTCAATTAAATTAGACAAAACTAAACAATACTATATCAAATTATATGAAATTAAATAAAATTAGATGAAAGATAAAGATAAAATAAAGTTGAATAAAACTGATATTACTAAAATTGACAAAAACTAAATAAAACTCGATGAAATTCGACAAAGTATAATAAAATCTAATAAAATTGAATAAAATTACATAAAATTACATAAAATTACATTAAACGTAATAAAATTTAATATCAACCCAATATCAATTTAACATCAAGGTAATAAAATTAATGATAATCACAGAAGATAAAATGAAATGAAAATTGCAGTAAATTCTAGTTTAGCTATTTATACCACCGAATGCAGTCTCTACCTCTGAACACCCAATGGCAGCCAGTCACACATGTGTGAACACACATTTCAAAAATCCCAAACCACTATCGAGACAAAGTCTGTCGCACACGTGAGATCTTTTGTTATGATTTTGTCATGCTATTCATCGACCTGCATTCGTCTCGATAGGGACCCAGTCTCCCACGCGTAACACCTATGGAACTTGTTTTCATCTTCCATCGAGCAGATGAAGTGACAAGACGAAGAAAAAGAATCAAAGTTCATTTCAAGTTGTTCGAGTGGAAGGTATTTTTCGATCAGACTACATTTGGGAACTCAGTCGAGCAACTTTCCACGGTTGTATAACGTAGCGGCTTTGTATGAAAGGGATATAAAATGATAAAAAAGGGAATCGTGCATGAAACTGAAGTGACATTTTCTGACTTTCATTTGGTGTTTCTTGTGAACGGATCGATATATGTTGGGTGAAACGTAGTCATATTAACTTCTTACACTGTGATGTATTTGTCAGGTCAGTAAGAATTAACCAGTTATAGCTATAATATTAAAATAGACAAGGAAAGTTGAAACTTCATGTCAATCGTTGATTATGCAAACAATTGAACTTGAACTTCAAATTAAGGCCTATTAAAAATTCGAGTAAAATTGACTGCGGTTGAAGAACGAATAGGTCATGCATCAGACTTGTCAAAGTGAGTTAAAATATCGACTAAATAAATCATACGAGATCTCCATAAAATATCAATAACCGATAACATAAGTGCTAGTGCTACCACAGGTGACAAAAAGTTACACTTCCACATTACACCATTATGAGTTCCTCAAATTTTTTTATACTGTACTAAAATCCTTCATAACTTCATCAGAAATTACTAACTACATATTAAACTAATAATAAATATATTCCAACCTAACCTAACCTAAACCAATAATAAATATATTCCAACCTAACTTAAACCAATAATAAATTCCACAAAATCATTAAAAGCTTTGATAAACGTTAGAGTTACATAACAGCAAACATCCAGAAGATTTCCGTGATTTCTCACGGACATTTGACGAGAAGGTAAAATGGAACAATAGTTAATATCTCCAACAAAGAAATCCCGGAGGGTAGTATCAATTCGACATCGAATCCTTTGAATGGCTATTTTTATAGAAGACTTCTACTTGATCTGTGTCCTTTCACGAAGCGGCTTAACCCCTCGGATTCAGAGAAATCGTGTGGACTCAATTTCTTTCAAGGTTTTATCCTGATCGAAGATTTTTCCTCTCCTTCTCACCCACGCTTTTATTACTCTTGCAAGTCCAGTCACCTCGGTTATTTAAATTTTCATGCAACGAGAAACACGATGATACTCATTGACAAACAGCTGTGATCGAATGTATAATACTCGAAGCCCGTGGGTAATTGTTAATGAATAAATATAAGTCCAGGACAATGGAGTTCATATAAAACCGGACGAGCCTGACAATAGTCTTCCGCCTCCTCGCGATCCTCATCGAGCAGGTGATGTTTTGTTCCCTTGGGAGAACTCGTTTAAAATGAACCAATTCAGATCAACTCGTTCGTGGTTACCATTTCATCAACTGTATGTTTTTCGTTTATTTGTACTGTACTGCGATTTTTTTGTACTAGACCATTGTTTAGTATCTGAAGATATTACTGCTGCTTAGTTAGAAACCTACGGTTTCTCATATCATTAATGTACTTTAGGAAATTATGATCATTCCTTAAAGACTCGTACTGTAATCAGTAAATTGACGTAGTAACTTAATTATTGGGTTGGGTGAAATTAGTTCCATAAAATTTTCAGGTGTCTAATTAGGCTGTATAAATATACCAACTTTGTGAACTTGTGAGGTCAATCAAGCTTCATAAATAAATTAATACATTATAGCAAAAGTAGTAACATAGAATAATAGTAGCTTAAGAATTCATAATAATTTCATAAGAATTCAACCTTGCTGACATTCGATGTACAGATGCAGCAAAAGACAGTAGTGATACAATAGAAAAGTAACAGCTTAAAAATTTATAATGACTTCAAAAGAATTCCTTCTTGCTGACATTTGATGTACAGATATGTCAAAAATAGTGACGCAGAAAAATAATAACTTAAAAATTCGCAATAACTTCAAAAGTATCCAACCTCAGCAGCAGACATAGCAAAAGACTTTTAGGTAGAATGTTTCATAGTTTCAAGCGACAGTAAAAATACGTTCCAGTGTCGGGTTAATTAACATTTTTCTGAAAACTCGGTAAAGTTGCCCACGAGTGTACATCGTCCATTATTAGGATTAATATTGTAGATGAACACACACGGGAATTCAGTTCCATGCAACAGAGTACAGGCGGTTCTCGTCGTTCACCTGTGCTATCGTGGAAGAGGCGCCGACGGGTGCCGATCAATTAACTAATGATCGCTAATTAACGTTCCCCTAGGGCGGTAATACCCGATAACGCTGGCTCGACGTAGCAGCCTTACGTTAACCATCGCTCGTGGAGCCGGAACAATCTTGGCGAAGGCCTTAGTTTGAATTTAACCGTGGCTCAGCACCGTGCTGAGTAATCAAACAATTACGAGAGGGGGTGAAAAGGTAATGGTGGTGGGGATCCGTAAGGTGGCGGATGGGTATCAACCGTTGCAAACCGAAGCTTCGTGAAATTCAGAGAGAATGGACGAAACGAAGGGAGAAATCGGATCGAAACGAGGCACCGTGAATTCCGAAATCAAAAGATGACGATTTCAGCAAAATAACGATTCTTGCGGATGCTATTGCAAATGGCAGAGGATAAACTGTGCTTGATAAATTTTTTGAAAATGTTAACTTCTTCGATGGTTGCTGAAACTTTCCTGTTGTCAAGCTTCAAACTTTTCAGTTGAAAAGTTTGCTGAATTTTTTGAAAATTATTTCTCTATTATTAATTGCCACTACTTATGACACTATGTTTATACATCATATGTGACACTACAAATTTATTTAAAATTGCATTAATTAATTAAATGTTGGAAGTGAGTCGACTTTTGAGAGCAAAGGACTCACTTAACACTTTGAGTGCTAACATATTTGAAAATCTCAATATTAGTAAATTTAAAAATACGAAAGTTTGAAATTTAATAATTCAGTCATTTTTAAAATTTTTCAATTTGCAAATTTAAAAAAGTAGATGCATGCATAAATATTAGCACGACATGTTATGATAAAATAATTAAGTATTGTGTAAACTAGTTGTGCACATCAATTGATAATTGAAGAATGACAGAAAGAAAGAGAGATGAAGAGAACGCAGCGCCACAATGTGTGAAAGATGGAGCCACACAGATCCAAGATCACTGGCGGATAATCCAACACAACACAAATAACCACCGTTCCATTTACGACCCGTAAAACTTCCGAAAGAGACATGAAGGAAAGCAGCAAGCAAGGAGGTACTCGCAGAAAATTGAAAACTGGACAACATGCATATTCATAATGGTGGCTTTAATATGTGTTTTATGGTTTTTCCTCCCCTTCTCTTCTTTCTCCCCTTTTAATTCATACCTCTCAATACGTACAAAATGTGAAATTCTTCGGTAAAAAATTGTTGAAATACAAAATTCACATTACATTTTAGATATTGATTATTTTATATAATATTTAGACTTTAGAGTATATTATTGAAAATATTGTATTTTACAAATAAAATAGGAAATAAAATAGTGTTTATAGTGAAAAGAAATAAATAATTCATGAAGTGAATATATAATATTAAATAAATCTTCTAAAGAATGAAAATAAAATATTAGATAAACATTTTAAGAAGTGAACATCTCATTAACAAATATCTTATTATCTCATTTAGAATTTTTAAGTTTTGAATTTATCTCAAAAGAATTTTTTGACTGAAAGAATGCAAATAAAAATTAGAAGAAAATACAAAAACTATCACACACAAATACAATGAAATAAAATTGTCGTTTCTTCCAAAAATTTGTCTCCAAAAGTTATAAAATGACAACAATAATTTCCGAAAGTTAACTGCTGCAATATGTCCCATTCGCTATCGTGATCGCATCGATAGGTCTGTCGAAACGCTGAAAAAGGTAGTGAAAATGAAAATGAAAAAGAGGGG